TGTAGGTAATTAGGAAAAACTTGTCTCGGGAATGTTAAATAGTATTAATGCAAAAATCCCGGACGAGCCCCCATTATGTTACACCCCTCCAGGCCTAGGATTACCAAGAGGGGCAACACAAGTGTGGTGGGAGCAAACAAGAGGACATGTAAAAGGTCAAAAGAGTTTATTAAACTAAAATTGTCTCCGGCAGGCAAAACTGGTCCTTGGAAATAATAAAGCCAGAGGTCTGATTAATCTAGTCTTTTTAAAATATAACTGAAGATAAGTGCAAGGCCCCACACTCGAATAATACCCTCCTTTTGGGTATGTGTCCTCCTTCTGGTCCTGTGCTGCTCCTAACGTGGCCGGTGTCTCACGCTCTCCCGTTCTCTCGCTCTCTGGAAGTGGAAGGTTTTCCTCCAGAAAAGATCCCCGTGTTGTCTGTCTTCTCTCGTTCAGGAAATCCACGGATCGTGTATGCAACTCGTCTCCACGATCTCCAGCTGTAACTCTCTTCCGGAACACTGCTTCTTTACTCTGCTCTGCGTTCTCGTTCATCTGCTGCTCCTCTTGTGTTATCGATCTCTGTTGGATCTCTGCCTGCTCTTCTTCCTTTCTGTCTTTCTCCGTCTGCTCGATCTCCATCCGCTTCTCTCTTTTTCTCAGCTCTTCCTCTCAGATCTCGTCCTCCGTGTGTGTGTCTCTGTGTAGCTGTCTGTGTGTCTGTCTGTGAACCGCTGCTCGTCTTCTTTTGTAGGAAGTCCTAATGAGCGCTGATTGTCCACAGCTGGTGTCAGCGGGCCGGCGGGAAGGGTGCGTCTCAGCGTGCCTCTCTCCATGGTGCTGATCCTGTACCAGCGGGGCCAGGGCGAGGAGCTGTCCCTGGTGCGGTGGTTTAAAATCGGAGCCCAGGAACGCAGGGGTCATAACAACGGTAATAGAAATAAGTATCTCGGGGTCTTGTTCACGAATGGGTGAAAAATGGAGCATGAGATCAATAGGCGGATTGGTGCTGCATCTGCAGTGTTGCGGGCTTTGTACCAATCTATCATCATCATCATCATCATCATCTTAATTTATAAAGCATTCCAACTTACAGGAGGTGAACTAAAGTGCTGCACATGCACATCACTGACCCATACAATGGCAGACAAAAGAGCAAAGAATGTTTTTTAAAGAACAAGATGAAATAAGTAAAATACAACTGGATAAAATTTGCTAAAATATCTAGAAATATGGCTAGCTCACGTGCTGAGGGAATGCCACTGTATAAAAGTGAGTCATCATCCAACTCTTAAAAACCGGCAGTGATGATGCTTGTCTGACTGTGACTGGAAGGCTATTCTATGGCTTGGAGGACTAAAACTGAGAAAGCCCTGACACCTCTAGTAAAGCGTTTTACTCTTGGAACAACTAGTAAGTCTTGCTGTGATGACCTAAGCACACAGGATGGTTTCTATCGGGTTAGTAACTTTTACAGATAACTTGGAGCACAGCCCTGCAGAGATTTAAAAACAAATATCTTGAACTGAACTCTGAAAGATACTGGAAGTTAATGTAGATTGGCTAAGGCCTAGTCCACAGGTAGCAGTTTTTTTTTTAAAACGAATATCCGCCCCTCCAAAAACTTGCATCCACACCACCTCGTTTAAAAAAAAACTCTGTCCACACGTACCCGGATAAATATGTTGTTAAGGACATGACAGACCTGTAGGCGGCAGTACTTCCCCCGTTCTTAACCTCGTCCTTCGTCTGTGGTCTTCCGCTTGCAAAAACAAACAAGCAAAATGCGCTTGGACAATTGATAAAGCGAGCGCAGCTCTGAGGTCATCCATGCTGTTGGCTAGTGTAAACACAGGTCGCACACGTGATGTCAGCATTCTTTTGTCGTGGAAAGTGATGTTGCGGACCTTAACACTCCGGTTTTGTCTGTCCACACGCAGACACCCAAAACGGAGAAAACGCAGATCTTCACTTTGGCCGGAGTTTTTAAAAAGATCCGTTTTCGTGTGAAAAAACTCAGTTTTCGTGTGGATGACAGGCCAAAACGTAGAAAAATATCTACGTGGACAGGGCCTAAGACAGATGGGACCACTTTCTGGTGTCGGTCAGGAAACTAGCAGCAATTAATCAACTTTTATTTGTTCCATTCTTTGTGTTCTCAGAATTCTTGGGTCCTTGGAACAGATGTTATAATGTCCTTTTGTAAAAATAATGAGCCGAGTGGTTTTTATTTTAAACTCCATTTAAACAAACATAACATGAATGATGACAAATATAAACATAAATTAAAGAGCAAACATCCTATGAAATTCCAAAGTAAAAAAATGTTTTTTTATTGTACAGGAACATACAACAGATGAAAGAGAATGAGAGTGAAATTAAAGTAGCTATCCAGAGTTTTCCCCTTTCAGAAAGTATGCATGATTTGTCAGAAATCCCTAAAAGTGATTATCTTATCATGTACTGTGATATAATATAAGCAATACGTCTTTTTTATTTGTTTATTTTTTACTAAGCACGCCCCCTGCCCTGCAGAGCTCCGTGCAATAGGAAACTAAGCGCCGACCAGAACTGACCAATAGCGTTAGACTACCGCTTAGATGCTTCGAATTTAAGGAATACCTCGGCTGATGCAGAGTTGATGAACTTTTCATGGACAAGTAAGTCTTTAAAATACAAATATAAGACAACACAACATGACGTGAGAACAATACTTGTAAAATAACAAGTTTTAGCTCTGTTTGTCAGCAACAGAAGCACATTTATAAACAAGAAACGTGAAGTCGCCATCTTAAAAAAAACAGAGCGACAGACTTTTTATGTGATATCCTTGTCAGCCACTAGATGGTGCCATCGGATCAGAGAAATACTCCGGAAAGAGACTTTAAATCTAAGCAAAATAAACAAATAATTCCAAACTAATTAAACAGAATGGGTTTGGGATGGATTTAATTTTGTTATGAGTGTGCAGTTTACTTAAATGAGAATTTAACTTTGTGCAAACAAGCACAAGGGTATAAAACATGTTAATTTCTATGAATTGAGCAGCAGATGAGCATAGTTTCAATGGAACTAAATAAAATCTTTGCAAGGTAAAATAATTAATAAAATGGCAAGTTGAGCTGATTTAATTTGCTACTAATTTGTCTGGTTTAGATCAAACAGACTAGCTGATCAGAAAAGTGGCATTGGGCTGTCACATTGAGTGTAGGTGGTTGGACCCAAGATGCAGAAATCCCCAGAATGACTCAATGCAGGAGAGGTCCTGCGAAAATAATTCCTTTATTAAAGGAGGATGTGCCGATATCCAAGGCAAAAAATAAGATTAAATTTCAAAAACTCACTGAAAACTCAAAAACAAACTAAAGCTCACACATGAGCACAGACTCGGGAAACTCGAGAGGGGTCAGCCAGCCAGCGAGGCGCTCATCTCTCTCAGCGCAGCATTGATATCCTGTGTACATGTTTGTTGGTGCACTGAGGGATTTCCTGCATCTACATGTGAACCAGCTGGCTTCAAATATGAATTTGTTTCATTGTGAGGTTGTAGGTGAAGCTGAGCCTCATTAAGAGAACAGATTAACAACAACAGTGTAAAAAGAATATGCATCTTTGTCTTCAGTGTCAGCCTTCGCAGGTCAGCTTTGTGCCTTGTGTTAACCGGGTCTTAAATACAGCTTTTATTATCAGTAGTTAAATATTACCTGATTGGTTAGTTGCTTAGTAGTTGCAGCTTTGGTGGCTAGCGGGTAGTAACTCGCTAATATTTTTAATTTAATAAACATATACACAATTTAAAAAGTAAAAGGTCGTTATATATTTATATTGAAACTAATACATGTTATGACCACGGTCATAAGGAACATCATTTCCTTTATTTTTATACTATTTGTATTTCTAGTGTTGTTTTTTTGAGTGTGCAGGTGCCCTCCTAAGATTGGTGGATGATGGCCAGGGGACGTTTGGATTGGAAGATCAGCTGGGGCAAAGCTGTTAAAAGGAGCCTGATGAGATGCAGCTGTGTTCTTCATTCTCCACTCATTCCAATCAACCACCACTTGATGCTCAGTGTTTGTGTGATGCCATAGTGTTTTTGTGACTAGTACCTGCCAGTCGAGGATTCTGTAGGGGTGAACCGCCTTTTTTCTTTGCATTCCTGTTTCCTCCTGTTTTGGATAGTCAGGGAGGTAAGTTTGGTTGTCAATTATTTCCTTTAAGTTTGTAGGTCAGTTGTCATCCTGAAGTTAGAGGTGTTTTGTTTATTGTTTTAGGCATTGGTTCACCCTGAGTTATTAATCCTCCCTCGTCCTTAGTTCATAACCTTGATCGTGTGAAGCAATTATATTATCATAATAAATGATTGTACTCGGAATTGTGGTGTGGTGGTTTGGAATTGGTGGAAGATGGAACCATTTTGATGTTACAGCCTGGCCCTCCTAGACGGGTTGTAACATACATACAAAATATAACTTTATCTCCCGTGTCACGTGAAGTTACGTGACCACCATGGAAGCCGTGGTCAAGTGATGCAAGTCTGTTCCATTTAACCGTTTTCTTTGACCAAGGAAGGACAGTGTCCTTGTAAGCAAGGCGCATGGCCTCGCAAGGCATGGCCTCGCAAGGCAAGGCGCCTTGACATTGAGAAAAAAACATGGTTTTATACACAGGAAAGGTGGTCAAGGAGACTGGGAGCAGGTGTGGCCAATGAACTGACTGGGGAGGTAAAATAAGCAGGAGGCTGAAACTAACATGATGAAAATGAACACAATGAACTAAGATGGACTAAAAGGTTGCAAAGGGAAACACAAACACTAAAAAAGCCTGAACTTATTTAAACCGAAGAGCAAAAACCAGTGAGCAACAAACTGGAGGGCTGGAGAATAAATCTAAGAAAACTAAAGATAAGTGAACTACTTAACCTGAAATTACAGAACTAGAGACACAGTAGGGCGGGGGAGTAAATACCTAAACAACATACATGACAACTGAAACACCAGAATAAACTAGAAACACTATCCAATCCAATCCACCTTTATTTGTGTAGCACTTTCGACCAAAGTGCTTCACACACAGATAAAAACATAGCGACATAACTAAAAACAATAAAAACATGGATAATATATTAAAACATACAAAAACATTGTAAAAGAAATTAAACTCAACACTGCTTAAAAACAGGAGTGTATAAGAATAATCAGTCAGTGTTAAAAGCCAGTGAATAACAGTGAGTCTTGAGGAGAGACTTAAAAACGACCAGAGAAGATGCCTGTCTAATATTGTCTGAAAACTGGATATTTAAGAAATGAAAGAGACAAGAACTAGAATGAATCTAAATGACACAGCCAGGGAAGGAGACAAGAAGGGATGCAGGAGACAAGAGACGTGACACCTACACCCAAAAAACAAACTTTGCCTATTGCTGCTTTTAATAAAGTTCATTTTGTTGTATCTACTTAATAAACTTGATTTTGCAAAGATTGCTAATGTGCTTGAGCAACTGTAATGTAATACTGTTAATTTCTGTTTCTACACAAAACCATTGAGTTACCTTATTGCCCAACATGATAGCCACATGAGCTGCCTGCCCAAACAAAGGCCAATGCGCATGTTCACCATCCATGGGCAAGGTGCATTGAGAGTAGCCGGTTTTCAGTTGATTATTTCTATTTTGGTGTGTTTTCATGTGTTTTTGGGGGGGTTTACTGCTAGGGTTGGGTTTTGTTGGATGTTGTAGTTAGTTGCTGGGTGTTATTTTGGGTTGGTCTTCTAAAGGGTTAATTTACATGTTATTTAATGAACCATGAGATATGAGATTCCATAGAAAATATGAAATCAATCTTATGGATCTTTGGTACTTTGGTATGGAGAATGGTGTAGTGTGGAATGTTGTTCAGAACCAGCAAATCCGGAGAAACGATTAGTTCCGATGGGAGTGAAGGTGATGTCTTCGCGCTAAGCTTTGATTCGGAGATTCATAAACACATAAGACGCCATTTTTGTTGCTCCACACATACCCTTAGAATGAGACCTCCGAACAGATCCAGACTGCCAGGTCCTCGAACCTCTCTTTCGGTACCGGAGCCAATGAAACAGCATCAGCAGTACGACAGACTAGTCTTTGGATTGTCTCCAGGTAAAAAGCGACAGTTGGCTAACTGTGTCAGATGGACCCGGAGGGTCAATGAGTTCAGCTTTTATTCTGAAAGGAACCGTTGCTTGGTTGGTAAAATGCAACAGATTTTATCCAGCTTGTCGTTGGTTCTTTCGGCTGAAAAGGAAAAATTACGGATTGGCCACTCCGTCAATGTCTCTAGAACGCTTTGAACTGCGTTAAAGATGATGTGGGCATAGTTTTATACTTCGGATGTTTTGGTTTATGGTCAAATGAAAAGATGACTGATTTACTAAGCATCACCAAAACCACGCCTCCGTCAGATCTGGCAGATTCTGATTGGATCAGTAAAAGCAATGTGCCAGGTCTTAACGCTACATGTGATCAGTCTCTAATGGAAACATTTAAAGTTGTATTACTTATTATATTATGTAGGATTATAATAAAGTAATTAATATTTTCATTTCACAAATTGGTTCACATTTTGTTATTGACTAACACTTTGTTTAATTAGCTTATTAAAAATAGAGTTCTTTGATTTATTAAAAAGGAAGAGTCCTTTGTCTTCATTCTTCTCTTGGGCTGGAAAGGAAATCAGTTTAGAAGCAAATGCATGAGACCTTGAGGCAATATCTCATGCAGATTAGTTCTTGCTGAGGAGAGGGGGAAAATGACTTTTAGGTGGAAAACAGTCATTTCATTCCGTTACAGTGTTAATTTTGCACTGTGAGAAAGGGTTCCATTCCGAGTAATGGGACCGTAGTGACGTCGAGCTGTTTCATAAAGTAGTCGGTGTTTCCCAGGTGTGGCACTGCACTACGGCTGAAATTCCAGCGCCACACCTACAAATAATTCCAAACTAGTTAAACAGAAGGGGTTTAGGCTGTATTCAGTTTTGTTCCTGGTGATGGGAATTCCGGCTCTTTTTAGAGAGCCGTTTATTTTGGCTCAGCTCACCAAAAAGAGCCGGCTCTTTCAGCTACCAAGTGGCTCCTCAGATTTTCTGTTGCGTAAAGTATATTTGTCACCAAAATTCATGCAAAACTATATGTAAAATGATTTATTAATATAAAAAAATGCAATATACCAAATATTTATCATTTATATGGATTTTTTAGCTGAACACTAAGAAATCTCAACTTTCCGACTGCTGTCGCTCATTTTCTCGCCGTCTTCGTCACACTCTCCTCTCTCTCGCTCGCCTTTTTCCTCCTCAATCCCTCTCATCTTCCTTCACCCGTATGTGCTCTGTTGTGTGTCTGAGTCTGATCCTCCCTCTTCCCCGCCCCTACTGATCTGTGTGTGGACAGTCTGGACATGCAGTTGCACATGTTGACCACGCCTGTGGCTTTCACCAAGACAAGAGGGGGAGGGGGGACAACTCCCAATGACGAGACGGCTTCTGTCGTTCACCAGAGCCAGTTCGTTCGTGACCGACACATCACTATTTGTTACAAATGTAGTTTACATAAATGAGGATTTTACTTTGTGCTTTAAAACATAAAAACAAGCACATACAGTAAGTCATTCACACGTATAAAACATGTTCATTTCTATGAATTGAGCAGTATATGACGATCAGTTTCTATGGAGCTAAATAAAATCTTTGCAAGGTAAAAAGAAATAAATTAGGCAAGTTGAGCTGATTTGATTTGCTGCTAATTTGTCTGGTTTAGATCAAACAAACTAGCTCATCAGAAAAATGACTGTTCATGTCTATGCTGGGGGGGGGGGTAAATGATGAATATGTATAAATTAGCTGAATGTGTTAAATGATCGAATAAAACATCTGATTTTCTAACATCTGTTGCTCACATGGTGAAAATCAGGTGACCACTGAAGGTGGTGTAATGGCTGTCACTGTCATAAATCCTTGTATTTTCCCTCTGACGCAGAAACACAACATCTCCAACCTCCAACAGCAGTGTGATACTGTTGGCACTGCTTGCAAAATGGGAAGGCTGCTGCTCGTATGCAACGAAGGTCATTTCTCCATTCTTAAACAACACGGCTCCTGTAGGATGTGAAGCATGTCCATGTCCATGTATGTGGAACACAAAGTGATAGACTCCTCTCACAGGTGCGATGAAAAAACCTGTAAAATTGTTTTATGAAAACATGCATGTTAGGTTATGTGGCTAGTCTAAATATTCACTAAGTGTGAGGGAAGGAGGGTGGTACGTGTCCATGATGGACTGGAGATAAAAACAGTTCCCCTCAATTCTTACTGGAGTAACAGAAGATGTATGAAAGTATTATTAATAGTATTTAGGGAAACTGAGTACCTGTATTTGGGTTGTAGGCATTTCCAATATTAGTAACAACACGTCTGAAGACCAGAGTTGTTTTTGCATTAAAAGGTCCAACATCTCCATAGCCTGAGTCCATCAGAGAGGCTGAGAAAGCCACTTGTTTCACTGAGAGACAAAAACTTTATTAGTTTCTCAGAATTATGCATATAGAGGTTTAGTCTCACTAAAATAGTATTAATGAAATTCTTGAATAAGCTAAACCATTGTC